TGCCGGTAGCAGCGACAGTAGCAGCATCCCCAGGACCAGGGATCCCGCTTAGTCAGTTAACAGTTAACCTAACATTTAACCAGCTGGCAGATTGATCAGGATTTTACATCCATAGCTCCAGGACACCCCTCTGGGGTACAACCCCTTCCCTGCTTCGTCCCTGCTCCTGGGAAGTAGTGATTTAGGCTACTAGGTAAGGGTTCAATTCCCCTGGTCTTGTACACACTCTGCTAGCCCTGTTTGAGCTGGCACGAGTGTAAACACACTTGTAGCCACAGGCAGGCAGAGAGCCCCAGCCGGGGGCATGGCCGAGCCTGGAACCAGCGGGAATATATATGGCAAGTCTCAGCCATGCCTCTGCTGCCGCTACTCATGCTACTGCCATCATGCCGGCCCCATGAGCACCCACTGAGCTACCTTGAGCGTTTGTATGCGAGCCAGGGACTCCCACTCCTTGCTCGTAGTGCGGGCATCACAGTACGGGCCTGTTCCAGCTGCAGTTAGCTACTAGAGTTGCCAGGTGTCCGATATTGACCCGGACAGTCCGGTATTTTTGCCTCCTGTCCGGTAAAAAAAAATTCAGAAAATACCAGACACGTAAAATGTCCGGTATTTTCAGATTTTTTTCCTGGCCAGGAGGCAAAAATACCGGACACCTGACAGCCCTATGACACACTCGGCAACTGGGCCCGGCCCCCGGCCTTTCCCCCCCACCCGTGGGCCCCGACACCTTCTGGCCCCAGACCCTCTGCTTTCCTTGTTATGCAGGGAAGCTGCATTATGGCTTGATCAAGAAAATAGAATTTATTTCCCCCATGGTTTGTTTTTGTGTGTGTGTGGGGGGGGGAGAGGATGTGTGTGTTTGGTATTTTTGGTTAAACCACCTGGCAACCCTATTACTGTAGCTACACCCGCACAGATACACCCGTGCTGGCTGTGCGGGACCCCGGTTTCCATTGCTTTCTCGCTCCTCCTGCTCTGGGCAGGGGCTAAGGGAGTGCTCACAGCTCTGCTTGTTTCGACACACCCGGGCCCAGGACCCCGGTGCTTTAGGCAGGGGGTTATAAAGGAGGTTTGGGGTTCCTTAGGCCTGCATGGAACCCAGATCAGAATTTAGCCCAGTGCATTACTACTAAGCTGTCAGTGGTCTCTTTAGCTACAGGCCCGGAGCATGCGTGCGGCAGTGCCCACAAGAAAGGCAATACATGCTTTATTGGAACCAGGCCCGTAAATACGTCTATCCAATGGGCTGGCAGATTTCCCTTCCTTCTTTTATGACTCCTAATGAAGAGACTGGGCCTTTGGGGCTCCCAGTCAGTCTCAGATTTACAGCTCTGTCCAGTTCTGTTCCCATGCCAACACAATATGAAGCTGTCTCCCAAGGAGGACATTGTCCCAGAACCTGGCCTGTTTCCCTGTCCTTTTAGTTTCCTTTCGGAGACATATTAGAGGATGGGTTCCCAAACTGGGGGGCGTGAAGAAATTCCGGGGTGGGGGGGCACGAGGCGACCCAGCCCCCATCAATTCCCCCCACCCCCAAGTTTGCTGCTAATTTTTTTTTTTGGCCCTGGTCATGTCCCCTTTTTTTTTTTTTTCCCCTCAGCAAGCGTTGCTGGGGGTGGAGTGGGGTGCGAAAAGTTTGGGAATCACTGGGTTAGAGGATCGTGTTCCTTAGCCATGCCTACTTAGTGCCAGTCAGGATAGTTAAAAAACGTTTAGTTAATTTTTTTAATCGGAAATTGGCCTTTTGACTCCATTAGTTTGTTTGGAAAGTGTCTGTTTTTTGTCTGTGAAACTTTTGAGCTTTTTTTCTTTGATCAGAAAACCAAAAACTGAAAAAGGATTTCCCCCCTTTCCTTAATGAAATATGTCTGCCATTCATTAAAAACCCATAAATCCCCCAACTGATTTTTTTCATTCCGGTTTTGGCCATTTGGCCCTGGTCTACATTATGGAGTTATTTCAAAATAACCTCCCTTATTTCGAAATAAAAAGCAGACCGTCCACACTACTAAGCCTGTTATTTCGAAATAATAGTTTGGTTATTTTGAAATCTGTACTCCTGCTTTCCTTCGGGAAGAAGCTTATTGCAAAATAATTATTTCGGGAGTTATTTCAAACTTAGTTACTTTGAAAAAATGTCCTAGTGTAGGCATGCTCTTGGTGAAAGTGGGGGTGAGACGGGAACACAAGCGCACAGTTTTTGTGTTTATGGTTTTTAAATGAAAAGTGAAAATTCTCCAGAAGGGTGAAGAACATTTTCTGACCAGCTGTGACCCTGCGTACAGACCTTGCCACATGAACTGGGTTACTAATCACAAAAGCGAGCACGAAGTCATCTGTTGTGAAGGGGCCGGGTTTTGCGGAGGGTGGGAGAGGAAAGGGAATCCTCAGATGAGTGGATTTTTCTTCTCTTGTTTTTGGTTAATTACATAATTAAGTTGACATATTGCCCTTCCGTTTGATTCTTGGTAAAGAGAGCAAACGTTGTCCCAGCGGGCCATATTTCAGAGCAGTGCCTTCTTATTTAGCCGCTCTTAAAAAATAAAAGTTCTAAATAACTTAGCACTTGTGTGATATTTGTTTCATTACAAGAGCAGCCAGCATAGATTTTAGTTACGGGATCATGGGGATAAGATAATAACCAGTTCTTTAAATATTGAATTACTGCAATGGAACAAATTGTCCAAGTGGTGTTATAAAGCATGGAGAGTCCCATTACCTGCCATGAAAATTATTGACTTGGTGCTGGCTATATGACTTTTTTAATGACTGGGTTTAAAAAATTGAAGTTGAATTGCTGTACTATGTATAGGGATATTAAATGGCAAAAAAAAGGTAAGTTGAACTGTCAGGATATAGATAACAAAACTACAGGGAGAATACTCCTGTAGTGTAGGCATAGACAGATTTATCATCAACACAGAGGGCCTTATTAATCTCTCTCTTGGTTATCCACCAGTGTAAGCAAGAAGAGGTTCAGACCTATAAAGCCAGACCCTTAGCTGGTGTAAATCGACGCAGCTGCATGGATGTAAAACATCAGCTAAGGAATAAACCTTTAGTGTTAATGTGTTTATGTGCACTTCTATCCATTGAGTTATAGTCTCTACATAAGAGACAGTCTTCCGTACATAAGGTACAGTCCTTGTACTACCTATGACAGAGCAAATGCACATTTTCTCAAAAAATAGTTATACCCATGCACAAAGTTTACGCTGTGAACAATGTACAGTACATTCTTTCCAGGGGGAGTTTTTAGGGGAGAGTTAACATCCATATCTGTGTTAGGCTCTCTGCGGCTACGTCTACACTGCTGCGCTATTTCGGGATACCTCCTGAAAATAGATATTCCCGAAATGGCTATTCCTCATCTTTTGAGCAGGATACCTCCTGAAAATAGCTATTCCCGAAATGGCTATTCCTCATCTTTTGAGCACACCCACTATTTCAAAATGCAGTAGACTTCTGATAATCCGGCACCTTTGGGACCTAGGTGGTGCCGGATTATCGGATATGCAGGCGTATTGGGAGGTCCCGGTACAGCTGCCCGGCTTAACAGCTGGCCAGGACCCGACCTCCTTCCCCTCTCCCCCTCCTTTCCCCTTAGCTGAAGCAAAACGCTCTTCTCCGTGCTGTAACCCAATCCCCCTCCCCTCTCCTTTCCCCTTCGCTGATCCCACTCTCCCACCCCCAACCTTATGGTTGTCCGGGTACAGCTGGCATGTGCGCTGAGAGGCTTCCATGCTATAACCCGATCCCACTCCCCTCCCCCCCCAACCTTATGGTCGTCCGGGTACAGCTGGCATGTGCGCTGAGAGGCCAGCTTTTTAATCCGCTGGATGGGAGCGCTTGACATTTCAATGCCAGAGTATCGGGAATGCCGGACAATTGAATGCTGGACTATTGGAGTTTTACTGTATAAGGGGCTCGCTAGTCCGACGTCCCTATAAACCTCATTTCATGAGGAGTAAGGGGTATTTTGGAATAGTGATTTATTTCAAAATAAATGCTGTGTAGACAGTGCCAAATTTCGAAATAACACTGAAATAAGATACACAGTTTGCATAGCTCAACTCGCATATCTTATTTAGACCTATGGTGCAGAGTAGACACACCCTGGGACACCTTCATTTCTGATCTAAGGGCACAGAAGTCAGTAGAGTTGCATCAGGGATTTAGGCCTCTTTCTGAGCATTGGACGCATGGTTTGTTTTATGCACGCTGGGCCAAAGCCCATTGACTTGAGTGTTGTCACAGCACCATCTGCCAATAGTGATTTTGGCCCGCTGTGCAAAATGTCTGGTCCCAGTGGTGTAGCATTGTCACTGGTGAAAACACAAGATATGGGTCATGGTGGCTTTGGCATTGTATAGCCATAGGATGTAGAAGAACCTGGATGATTTTCTTTTTTTTTCTGTTGCAGCTGGCGCTGAGAGGACCTGCGGGTCCTATGGGACTTACTGGAAGGCCAGGCCCCGTGGTAAGGAAGTAGCCAAACACCGAGGACAAGAAGGCAAAGCCTTGGAATTGGCTCCCTGACATTATCAGGGCCCGGATTGTCAGAGAGGCCTTCATTTTGCTGACACGCACTTTTATGCACCTGCTCTCTGGCCTCCTCTCCGTCCCATGCCCCTGTATAGGGATTTGGATGTGCATCCTGCTTTGGGGCAAACATTCTTGTCACTGCTCCCCTGTGTCCCCCACATCAACCAACAGCCCCTGTCATGAGGGAAACCTTGTGTCAGAGAGAGACCAAACATGGCCAAGCACTGTTTGGAAAATGTTTGGCTCGGTGCTCAGAGCTAATTGCCGGAGCAGCTGTGGTTCTAATCCTGCTGCGTTCAGTGCTGTGGGTTCCTAGCGAACTCTCATGGCCTTGGGGACTAATGGGCCCTTCTTGAACATGATTCAAGTCTTGCCCATGGCACAGCGCAGTCTAATTGTGTTATGCATCCCTAGGGACCCCCAGGCGGTGGAGGACTAAAAGGCGAACCGGGAGACATGGGGCCACAGGTGTGTATGAGAAAATTACTTAATTTTCCAAAGGGAGTGGTGGTGAGCTCTTGTCTAAAGCCACCAGGTCTAAAACTGGGGCTTTTGTAGTGGCCAAGAAGGAGGAAGAACCTATGCTTTCCAAAAGGTGAATAAAATTGGCCAATTATGAAAATATGTTCTGTGCCTACATGAGCATGTGAGTATCCAAACGCAGAGCTCAGAGATCCTCAGGTAGTGGAATATTCCACATTACCCACCTTGTGAAGACCATGCCAGTAATGATTTCCAGCACATCCAATCCTGAAAGCCCTTACTTCCTTCTTACTCTTTTCCCAGGCAAAATGACCGTTCCATACACAGAGAATTTTGCTCCTACTTGAAGCCCTGTAGGATTCTGGGCTGGGTGGAGGAGGTTCAGCATGCTGTGCTGCTCCACCCTGGGGAGAGGGATGGAGAATAGTGCTCTCGTCCGTTCGGCCTACCAGCGCCTCTAAACCTGTATCGGCCTAAATCTTGTGCTTCACCTCTTTCCATGCGTCCACTGGGAAAGCTATATCCACATAGCCTGCACCAGGATTCTGGGGGGCCCCACCTTCAAAACTCAAGCAGTTATTCCTCTGAAGAAACTTCGAAGGCCCCAAATGAGGTCATAGCTCATGGGCAGGCAAAACTCCCATTATCTGCAGGAGACACCTGAGTAAGGGCTGAAAGATTTGCATCCAGAACATGGAGTCAGCAGCATGTGTGGAATGGTTGACTTTAAGATTTCCCTTAATTTTGACATGACACAGTGGGTGTTTGATGTGCTGAGGACTCTGTTCAGTGAGGTGAATGTCATATATTCTGTGGTCCGTGATCATTGCTAGTGGCAGTGTTTTGGCTGGTACATTTCTCATCTTCTCCAGTGGCCGTTCTTTGATCTCCACTGAACCACCTGAGGAATGAATGGATCTGCCTTTCTATATCTGCTCACCTTGTGACAAGTTTACCAAGGAGATTAGGCACCTACATGTGAAGCTAGTGGTTTTATAAACCAGCTAGGTAGCTACGGTACTTGACTGCAATGAACGTTGAATCGGAATTAGGCCTCTTACTCACTTAGGTACCCAATAGGATTTTCCAAAGTGCTGATCTACACCTATAGGCACCCAAATACCTTGGTAAATCTTCCCTGCTGAAAAAATATGGTAGGTTGGGATTTAACCCTTTTTTGAACTTCACAAAATGGGCCCAGCTAGACTAGGCCTGTGTCTTGGTCTTTGTCCTCTGGAGAACGTGCGCATGGTGTATCATCATCTGCTTTTGTTTTTTTCCCCAATCTCTTCAATCTATTGCAGGGTCCACGAGGCACTCAAGGCCCCCCAGGCCCATCAGGAAAACCAGGCCGCAGGGTAAGTCCACTCGGTATCTCCTGGCATGTTTGAAATAGACTTTCTCCTGCTGCCTAGCAGCTGCGGAGAGCAAGGGGGCAACCAGGGGGCCACAGAGAAGCAGTGACCTGTGGGTGACAAGCCGTCCCATTTCACAGTGCCAGCCAGGAATGAATCTGTGGGGGAGATGTTGATACCTGGGTGGCTTCCCAGTTCCACTAAACCTATATACAGATACTGGAGAGGCTTAACAGCCCTCAGGCATAAAAAGGGAGAAGGTGAGGTGAGGTGCATGTCTCATTCTGTTCCACACTTCCCAGCTTCTAGATGATGGCTCTCCAGGCATCCAAAATATGCCTGCGTGCATGAACTGGGCCTACTTCTCACACCACTTTTACTGTAACTCCATTGGCTTCGCCGGGTTACTCCGGATTCCCATGGGCACGGAGGAAGATCAGACCCGCGGGTACCTACAGAAGATAGCACACGTTGTACTCACATCCTGTGCCTGCATCTCCACAGGTGCAAGTTAAGGGGTTGAGCTGAAACAAGAAGGCTCCGGTTGCAGGAGAGAGAATTAAAAAACTCAATGTCATGACCCACTCCTGGGTTACTAATGAGCTTTTATCTCGTTACCCGCTCTGAACACCGTAGTGAACATATCTTGCAGCGTGTCTTCCCTTTTAAATCAACAGCCAAGACCTGGTATCCGTGGACCCCACCATTTTATATTATACCCTTTGTTAGAGAGCCAGGCAAAGATGGGTTGCCACAAATAGACCGTCATTGTCTCCCCGCAAGGAAAACTGTCCCCCTGCCAGTGGGTTTGAACTTAAATAAAACTTTATTCGGCCACAAAGCGAAGAGCAGAAGTCCCTGCGGTCTTGCTCCATTTTTGTACATGACTTTCCTTTCCTTTCTTTTCAGGGACGTGCTGGCAGCGATGGTGCCCGGGGAATGCCAGGGCAGACAGGACCAAAGGTAGCTGTACACACGTATATGCTCTCTGCAGTCACATCTGCTCTTGCAGACGCAAACCAAAGGGACCCTAGACAGAGGGAATCCAGTTGACTAGGAAGGGAAAAGGTCCAGCAGCCCCTTAGACTCATGGGCTTGAAACATCAGAGGTGGAAATGAGTCACCAGAGTCAGGCAACAATGACAGAATTTTATGTAAGGCTTGTCAAACCAAAAGATTCCCATGAGTAAGAACTGCTCTCCTTCTGTGTATGGGTGAAGAGCCTAGACTTTGGAATCCCAATTACAAAAAATACCCAGTGAGCAAATGAAAATGTCATGCAGTCTCCTTCCAGAAAAAATACCCATTAAGGAAACTTACAAGGTGTGTCCTGGAATTTACATACCATCGCTGAGGGGAAATCTCTTCCTTCCCCGTGATCTTGCGCTATTGTCAGGCAAGAAAGGAGCTGCTCCACCAAATTGAGGAAGCTTGCCCAACGAATTTGAAGTAGTTTATTTGTAGATATTTTAATCTGGAATAGATTGCGGGGAAAGGAGTCTGCAAGCCATCTGTCCAGTACAGTGCTTTAATGATTCTTGACTGCCTTTAAGGGAGTGAATGTGAACAGTAGCCAAGTTGGAATCACATTCCATTGTGAGTGGACTTCAAGGGGCACGCTAGCCCAGCAACCTACGCTAGTGAATAGACTTCACGAGGGTCCCTTCATCTCAGTGAGCCGCAAAATTTTCATAACCAAGATGGTTTCTGGGGACTGGGTCATTTTGCTATCTGTGCTTGCATACCTAGTATTTGCGGGGGGTGCCGAGTGAACTGTAGCAGCTCTTTGATTGGATGCAGAGGGAGTGCACGGCTCTCCCAGTCAGTGTTGTGTGCAGTCAGCCTGCACCTCACTTCAAATGCCCTTGCTTTAAGTGTGTGTGTCATTTTAGTAGGAAAAAACCCTACACAAATGCAAACCAAAGGGATCTGGCAACCTTGCGGTTGGGCAGCAGTAAACAAAATGTCTTGAAGACCACACATGGAACCATATAGGCCACAGGTTATCCACTGCAGCTCTAGAACTTGCCAAAAAAATAGCCATCTGTTTCTGCTCATGTATCTTGCGCAGGCAACTTTGATTGCTTGCTGGGTGGATTTATACATTATATTGCTCTGGCGTGACAGACTATTCCTACATCTAAAGTGGAGGGGTGAAGAGCAGGAGGAGAGGCATGCAACTGTAACTGTATTGAGTGTGGAATTAGCATGAGAATATATTTAGTGGCTAGCAGAGCAGAATGGGAGACAGGATTTCTAGATTCTCAACTTTGTTAGTTTACTGTGTGGTTGGGGACAAGTAACTTAAGTGTTAGCACACAGATAATACTCATGTTATGGGTGAGATGTGCCACGTCAGGCATTGTAGATGGAAGCACCCAAAATCAATACACCCTTTTTTCCCCTCTTGAATTCTCATCCCTGTGTGATATGCCCTAGGATGCCCAGGCAGTTTATTATTGCTCTTTAAGCAATAAGACTCTTCTTCCTCCCTGCTTTTATTTATGTAGAATCATAGAATACTAGGACTGGAAGGGACCTTGAGAGGTCATCGAGTCCAGACCCCTGCCCTCATGGCAGGACCAAATATTGTCTAGACCATCTACTGGTCAAGCAGATTGTGGGCAAAATGTTGGCTTGTGTGTGCACTTTACAGTTACTTAAAAAACAGCAAATAGTCTGGTAGCACTTTCAAGACTAACAAAACACGTAGATGGTATCATGAGCCTTCATGGGCACAGCCCCCTTCGTCATCTGAAGAAGTGGGCTGTGCCCACGAAAGCTCATGATACCATCTACATGTTTTGTTAGTCTTTAAAGTGCTACCAGATTATTTGTTGTTTTTTAAGTTTATCCTGTACAGGAGGGGTGGTCAACCCATTCCAGATAAAGAGCCAAGATATTAGTGGATCCAGCATGAAGAGCTGGGGCAAAGTTGTAGAGCAAAAAAAAAAAAAGGCCTCCCCCTTTAAGAAGCTGAAGCATGTTGCGTGTTTCTATGCTTTTAGGCCTCAGCAGGCTCCCACCAGCTGCCCCTCTGGCCAGGGAGCCCAGAGGAGCCAGGAGGCGGGGGCCATTCTCAGGGATGCAGGGGCAGCTTAACGAGCTGCACTGACAGAGTGGGAGAAGAGCCACATGCAGCTCGCGAGCCATGGGTTGGCCACTGCTGCTGTACAGACTAATTTGGCTACCCCTCTGAAGTTTTTTCACGGTTACTGATGGCTAAGTCACAGAGTGTGATGCCCATTAGTGATTTTCCTTGGTGAGGTGACACTGTTTACTTATATACACTGGTTTGCAGCCCCCACGGGCTAGTCCCGGCATAGCCAAGTCTCAGCCGAACTGTTCCATGGGAACTGCCCTGTTTTAGCTCTGTGGTACAATTCCCGACTTCGGTCTTACACATCACTTCCTCCTGTCAATTAAAATATCAACAGAACAGTGCTGCTGTGAGAGACGCTGTCAGAGCCGGCCCAAGCTAGGGGCTGACTGGGCTACCGCCCAGGGTGCCCAATGGTAAGAGGTGCCACGCGGGGCTGCCGGACGAGGCGGGGGCTGGGGCCACACATGTGCCGCACTCCCGGGGGCGAAGCTGCGCTCCCAGGGCCCAGGGCGCACGAATGGCCAGGGCCAGCCCTGGATGCTGTGACAGGTTCTTCTTGCACACGGTAGATGCCATCCACTTAGTGTGATGAACGAGGTGCTGAATAATAGATGGAGAGGAGTTTTATGATGATTCTTTCCATGTGGTTCTCAAGTAAGACCAGAAATGTCAGTCAATTTAGTGGAAGAAATGGCTGCTTAAATTCCAAAGGTGAAGTTATCAGATCTAGCACTTCGCTTGTTTCCTTCTTAGGCTGCACATTTTCTTATCTTTGGTCCTGATTATATTAACTCAGTTTCCTGTTTCTTTTGTTTATTTTCCCCCTTGAGCAACTAGAGGGATTCAAGGGGAAACTGTGGTCAGAAAGGTGGGATGCTATAGTGGAAGACATGCTGATGGTCATGGGAAAGTTGATATTTCAGTTGCTACATGGGGGCTATGATTAATTGTTGCATGAAATTGAGAAAATGGAAATGTAGACTGAATACCATGAAGACTTGCCAAAAGATGTGTTATGCCATAGAACCCTGCCTCAGGGGAACCGGTGTTGTATTAGGCCATAGAACGCTGCTCCAGGGGAACCAGTGCAAGCCACATTGCTTGGGAAACAAGGATTTCAAGTGTGCAGTGACAAGAATCATCTAGATGGGCGAGATGATATCATGGAACTTTTTCATCTCTGATTCTGACATTTTTGGTGCTGCAATAAGAAGGAGAGTCATAAATGTCTGTGGATAAAACTGATCTCTCCTTGGCATAGAGACGAATCAAAGTGGAAAGTGGTGCAGCAGTGAACAGAAATCTGAATTAACCTTGTCTTTTTTTGTAGGGTGATCGAGGTTTTGATGGGTTGGCTGGTTTGCCTGGTGAGAAGGGGCACAGGGTAAGTTCTCATTGCCACAGTGTCTTGGCTGCAACTAGGGTTGTTAAATATTGGTTAATTGAATAGTTGAGTGACCTCATGAATTCTTATTGATTAGTTGACTATTCCATAGTCCCCAAGGGTGGGGCTGGCAGCCAGTACACTCCAGCCCCACTCCCGAGGAGTCCCTGCTACTCTGCACAGGGTGCCAGGCAGGAGCTGGTCCGTGAGGAGAGCCAGTTTAAAAACCAGCTCCCCTCAACTGCCTGTCTCCCTGTGCTGCTGCCTCTGTCCGGGGGGGCGGGGGGAAGGAGGGCAGGGAAATGCATGTAGTCACTAGCATTAACTTATAAGCTTTTGCTTATCGGATAATTGGTTAATTGACTACACTATTACATCCCTAGCTGCAACCTTAAAAAGAGAAAAAACAAACAAAATGGCTGCACCACACTGGAGAGGGATACTGAACTGTCAAATAGACCAGCAGGGGTGTGATAAAGAGTTCTGAGGTTGTCGGGAGTTGCATGGAGTGCGGTTAGATCTGAGAGGTTACAGGCTGGCTGTGGAAAGAGGATTGCAGAGCTGCAAGAGTGCATTGGGCATGTTATAAAACATGTCAGGGGCTGGAGATGGATGATGGGGGCAGAGTATCACTTGATCATTCCCTGTTCTGTTCACTCCCTCTGGGGCATCTGGTGTTGGCCACTGTCAACAGAGAGGATACTGGGCTAAATGGACCTTTGGTCTGATCCACTGTGGTCATTCTTATGTAAAAACATGTCTAACCACAGCGTCCGTGTGTCAGGAAGCCCCCAAAGGCTTCCAAAGACACGTGTTGGGAAAACCAGAAGACTTTTTCTGGAAGAGGTAACAAGCCCCAGAAAAATTGGGAAAAAAGCAAGAATCGAAACCTGGTTTTAGTTGGTGCCTTTGTTTATGGAAACGCAGCCAAAAAATTGGGATTCTTCCCTGTGCTTTGTAATTAAGGAAGAAGCCAGCTATTTTGGCAAGCAAAAATAATAATAATAAAAAAACCTACAGCATGTAACCGTTACTTTATAAAATGGGAGTATCTTAGCAGTGGAGGAAATTACATGGTGATTACATGCAATGCTGTGGCGGAAAGGTAGCGCACCCGGGCAATGTTTAACAAGCTAGAAAATGCTGTAATGTGTTTGGGTTGGAATGGTAACAAGGCGCAAAGCCAAGGTGCCTGTTCTCGAAGTAGCGGCTGTACATCCTGTGGAGACAGTGGATGCTTTTCATACCCGTTATGAGATGTGACAAGGAAGTTTTGTGATGGATCATATATGTCCAGTGAAGCAGACTCTGTGAGAGGACTCTGAGTTGAAGCCCGGCCAGTGGATGACAGACAACACATTAGTCACAAGGTGTTGCCCACACAGCCAATGAGATCTTTGTGTGCCCCAGTATAGTCCAGGTTAATTAAGGATACAGGGATGTTCTGCTAACACACTTCCCCTGTTGGAAGTTTTGTGATGGATCATATATGTCCAGTGAAGCAGACTCTGTGAGAGGACTCTGAGTTGAAGCCCGGCCAGTGGATGACAGACAACACATTAGTCACAAGGTGTTGCCCACACAGCCAATGAGATCTTTGTGTGCCCCAGTATAGTCCAGGTTAATTAAGGATACAGGGATGTTCTGCTAACACACTTCCCCTGTTTGAGGTGTGGGTGAGGGGCAGCTCACAAGACATGCTCACTATTCGTGAAAATGATCTTGGAGCATAGCGCTGTCCCTAGGGTGTATGAAGTGTCCCGTGCCGGGCACTATGCTCTTACAGTTGTGACCCAACGGGCTCCCACCTTTGCATACACATAGAACAACCCAGTTCTTGATGGTCTCCATAGGCTGGAGGGTCATTTCTCTCTCCTCCTCCACCACGTGAATAGTTTTCTCCTCCATTTCTGAAGTCCTGTGATCTCCCCTCCATGGACCAGGAAGGCAGGAGGCTGAGAAGAAGCACAACTAGCAGCAAGAAGTGTGAGACTGGAGGGTAGTTAGGAAAGACGATCTCTCACTGCTCGGTGGCAAAAGGAGACCATGGATGTTGCTTGAGGGGCACATGATAAATAGCATCCAATATGGCTACAGAGTACTGTCTGCTGTTCTAAGAGAAGGTGTAGGGGGTTTTGAGTCTACTAGAAGATACGGAAAAGCTGAGCACTGAATCTCGTGAAGGCTGGGGAGCAAAGCAGTGGGGTGTATGCGCCTCTCCCTCACACCTGCTTTACCTCATGAGGGAGAAGACAACAGGCCTGACTTCTCGGGTGCTTTCCTGATGCGGCTGATTCTGATCTTGCATTCCTAGGGTGATCCAGGCCCATCAGGTCCACCAGGAGCACCTGGAGACGATGGCGAGAGGGTAAGTTTATCTCTGAAGGCAGCTTCCTTTTGGATTCAGAACTAAGTCCCATAAACAAGAAGCAGATGTGGTATCAGACATGTCATGAAAACAAAGAGCGCGCAAATGCTGGCACGTCTCTTAATACGAATTGCTGATAATCTTAAACAAAGGCAGCTCATCTCTTGGTCTTGGAGTGGCCTGGAATTCCACAGCCATGCGGCATTAATACATGTACTCATGATTCGCCCTGCATTGCAGTAGCTCTGAGTGTGCAATTTGGCACATGTTTAAACTGGTTATTTCAAATGGTAATGGATGGGGCTCACTGCCAAGGTAAAACGGGTTGGAAAATATCATATGAAACTTAGTCTTATGTTTTTTTCTCCCCGAATGAAGATTTTTGTGGAACTTTTTTTGGATTTTTCATCATCTCCTACTTCTTTTTACTGCAGGTTGAACCTCTCTAATCTGGCACACTCTGGTCCAGAATGATTTTAGTTAGCCAGACGTCTACTTATCATGGGTTTGGCCAAGTGTCCCGTGGTCCAGTAAAGTTTGTTTATAGCCGACAGTCCTGGCTGTCCATGTTTTGTGCTGTTATTTAGCTCTAATTTACCCCTAGATGTTGTCTGAGAGCCTAAAAAGCAGTGGAAGTGTTGGTAATGCTGCTAGATAATGATTTGCATGATTTGGCAAATTCTCTGACCTTCTAGTCAGGTCCCAAGGATGCTGGATTAGAGAGGTTCAACTCGTAGTAATGGAAAACTTGAACCGTTTTATGGTTTTCCTCCTTTCTCTTCCATTCTTCCTTTTAGCTCCATTTTTCAGTGGCAAAATGAAAAGGAGGAAAACTGAAAAAAAGTTTTAAAAAAGATTTTCTTTTCTTATAAGAAAACTGGTCAGTTTTTTTAAAAATTTCACCAAAAATATGAGACTGATTATATTTCTTTGCAAAATACTCTTAGGCTATGTCTACACTGCAGGCTTTTTGTGCAAGAACAGCTGTTCTTGCGCAAAAACTTGCAGAGCGTCTACACTTGCACACGCGTTCTTGCACAAGTAAATTTACAGTACAGCGCTGAAAAATTAGGAATAAGCCCTCTTGTGCAAGAGCTCTTCCACAAGAAGGCAGTGTAGACAGGCAAACGGGTTTCTTGCGCAAGAAAGCCCTATGGCTAAAATGGCCATCAAAGCTTTCTTGCGCAAGAGAGCATCCACACTGCCACGGATGCTCTTGCGCAAAAGCACATCTCTTCCACAAAAGCACATGGCAGTGTGGACACGCTCTTGTGGAAGACCTTTTGCACAAGAACTCTTGTGCAAAATGGTTCTTGTGCAAGAAGCCTGCAGTGTAGACGTAGCCCATAAGACTTGCTTTTCTTCAAGAAGTGCTAGTACATTTCAATGGGGGTTTAGAGACAAGTGTTCCAAGACTGCCTTGGGGACTAAAAATGGAAATGCTTCATTGTATTTCTCTTTTAATTATGTTTATTTAATAATTGGAGGGTATTCAGAGAAAAGCACCTAGGAAATGATAGGGCTAGTAGGGGATATAAGAAGCCTGAAAGTGGTGACTATAGCTGTGAGACAAATGAGGACTAGTGGTGAAAATACTGGATTGAGAGCACACACTTGGTGGTTTCTAATCGTACCTTATGTTAGTGTTAGGCACATCACTCATTTATTTCCTCTCTAAGCCAGGCCTAACACCTAGCTCACTGAGAACTTCTGAGGATTGACTAGTTAAGCATAAAGTGCTTTCAAGTTGAAAGGATTTAAGTAGTATCACTGTCCTTCAACTGAACAATGTGTAAAGAGACACACTAACTCTCTGTGAGTATGGCCTGGTCTACTCTAGGACCTTAGTCCAAAATTAGCCCAAGGTTGAATTTGTAAGTGATGTGTCTATACTACCAAGGCTGTTATTCCGGAATAAGGGGCTGCGGAATTGGAACTCTGTAGTCCTGCTTTTCATGAGGAATAACGCTGTTACCAAACTTGTACGTCTGAAATAACGTTAGCGTGGATGCTCTGGTGCCACTAATTTGAACTAATTGCCCTTTGAGAGTCCTCCTGCAACTCCTCAGAGTGCTTCCTGGGGCTCTGAGTCTGAGGTAGCACATCCACATTAACCAAGCCTGCCTCGGACTACAATCCATTCTTCCCCATAGTGAGAACACGGAACTTCGAATTTGTAAAATCGGGTGCCCAGAAGTTGAACTTAGTAAATTTGAAATAATCTCCTAGTGTCGACATGTCCTATGTGATCAATTTTAAATCGCAAGAGAGAACTGGAATAGTTAGAGAAGGGGCTGTGGCACAAACAGAGCATGAATAATGGGGTGAATTTTATTAACAGAAAGATGAATATTAATATTGATTTCCTAAAAGTGATATCTATCAGCTTGTGAAATAGTCTCCCAGGTGAATTGGAGGGAGCCCTGTCATTTGAATTAAAAATGAACTGGACAAAGCAATGAAATTCTATAGGGAACAATGGTCCATTGGTAGGAGATGGAGTAGATGACCTAAAAACCACCCCGTCATTCATTTGTTTAACCTAATGAGCGAACAGATTAATTCAGCTAAATTTAATTGCCATGTTGGCTTTTCTGTATTGGCTTCTCCATTCAGTTAGGCACTAAATCTGCTGCGTATTGACCCACAAGCCTTGAATTGTTCTGACAATATTTCATCTGTTAACAAAATCCATCTTTATAAACACTGACCTGAATTATGAAGCATCCTGATAGCATTTCTAATCTGCAATCAATTCTGCACACATGGTATTCATCTCCAGGCTTAAGAGGTCTTTCTTTCACACGGCTACCATTTTATTACTCCAGGGAAGTTGGTTTTCTGTGTGATTATTATTTAACAGGGTGAGAAACCTAGGGAGTGATTGAAATGTAGCTAATTCTCTCTCCCCTCCTCCCCTTTTCCCTCCTCCATGAATAGGGTGATGATGGAGAAGTTGGACCCAGAGGTCTACCTGGAGAACCTGTAAGTACTTGCTATTTGGTTGCAAAATGTGGGCCGTTGCATTCTGTAATACCTCAGTAATTCTGGAGTCCAAGTTTCCTGTGGCTAATGCAGGGATAGTGGCTGATAGTCACCTAGTGCTACACAATATGAGTATCTCAAAGGCAGTGAAAAGAGATTGGACTCCAGTTGTCATTTTCAGATCTATTCTGTTTCTCCTGTTTGCAGCCATTTCATAAATCAGAAAACATTTCCTCCACTTTATTTATTCTACAAAAAATTTTCAGCTAATCATCTTAGTAATGTTGTTTGCCCAGCTGCCTCCCATTCAAAATGTGAAGTCCCAAATTTGAGCTGTGTGGCTTAGCAGTGATGGGGCACATAACATGAGCAGAAGTCCTCTTGCCTGTCTGTGGAAGTGAATAGTTCATGGAAAAGGTACACAAGCTGTGGTTTCAATGCGTGTCCAAGTGCAGGCAGCCTTAACATTCATTTTCAAGGGCATTCAGGCTGGATAAACTGGATCACACGAGTATTTGGGGAAAATGAACATTTGGGCCTTTTCTGGGAGGTGAAGACTCCAAATACAAACTGGCTTCTGGACATCACTGTATCATCTAAGCCTGCTCAGAGTGGGTTCAAACATCATGATCCTTAACATGTGAATGGCAGCTGGGAGTCCACCTACTAGAAAGCCACGGTTCTGCAAAGGCTGGTGCACCTACTTTGCATAATGCCTTCTGAACTGGAGTCACAGGGTGAAATCTTGGTCCATTGTGAGTTTTTCCATTGACTTCAGCAGGGTAAGATACCACCCCGAGGGCATAATGATCTGCAGATCTTTGCAAGGGAAGGGCTTAAGGCTGCTGGTGTTACTCACCCAGGAGTAGATGAACCGGGGTTGGCAGTGACAGGAATGCTCTCTGACAAACAAAACTAAAAGGGATGCTCACGTCACCAAAACTCAGTGTTTTGCAGTATTCACTCAGCTCTCCCATGAATTCCTGCCAAATGGAGAGGTCCAAAGGCACAGCTGTCACTAGCACCAAATAGTCCTCCCTTGTTTGGCAACAGCAAAAACCTCTGATGCTCCTGTGCTGTGAAATTGTCATTTCATTAAAATCAGCATAGTCTGGCATCCAAAACACATTTTCTTAGTATTAAAAGGGACGTGAATTACCTATTGCATGCCATCCGCTTTGCTTTTATCATGTCCTGTTTTGTTATTGTAAATAGCTGATTAGTGATGCCAGAGAAAGGGAGGAGAGATGTTGGGAACATTAAACACAGGAAAGGAAAAAGTTGGCATGTACAGACTCGTTGGAACTAAATTATACATGAGATGTCTGATTAACTTGTGGGAAAGATTCATCAACCCCGCTATCACCTTAACACATATCTAAAGCAATAACTTCTGGGTTATTCACTTCTCAAAGACGTGTATGCACAGGCATTACGGTCATGGAGAAGACATTCAGATGACACTAACGCACACATGGAAGCTATTTTTCAGTGAGTAGCAGAAAAAAATGGCTGAGAGTCTGGTTGGTAGAAATTACAATGTAAGAATTTTTGCTGGTGACTTTACTGCCATGAGCTACATGAACATCTCTTAATGAATCAGCCAGAGCCTGGTCCCATCAAACCAGTGCCCATTTTGATGGTAGCATACGGCCCTTTGTTTTACTGGTTGTACCTTAGAATTCGTTCCTGTAGGCCCTGGCTAGACAATATCCCCCCCCCCCAATTCTCTGGGGACCTGATTCAAAGCCCTTTGAAGTCAATGGAACTGTCCATTGACCTTACAAAGGCTGGGCTAGAAAATTTCCCCCCCCCCCCAATTCTCTAGGGCCCTGATTCAAAGCCCTTTGAAGTCAATGGAACTGTCCATTGACCTTACAAAGGCTTTAGGATGGGCTCTTCATAACTGGAGCTTCTAAATGTCTATGTTTCTTCATGCAGGGGCCCCGAGGTTTGCTGGGACCAAAAGGGCCCCCGGGCCCTCCAGGACCACCGGTAAGTTGCACGGATCACTCCACTGACCTGCTGTCTTTGCTGTTCTGCTCAAGCAGTTCTGCTGAGTTCTCCAGCCAGAGCTGCCTCGTCCCACAGAGGCACCCAGGCAGATAATCCAAGTGGATAATTGTATGCATCTGTGTTGTGAAAGCAGGAGGTGTAAAGAGAGTTGAAGCTGTAGAGCCATATTCAGCTTTGCTTTGAACCCAGCCTCTGTGGAGCCACACACAGTCATCCCAAGGTGGAATTTGGCCCATAGAGTAAATTAAATATCTAGCCCAAAGTTGAAAGGAAGAACATAACTTATCACTGTGGTTTTTCGATTAACTCTTGCCTTAATATTCTGAAGCCGGGTTTAATACAGTTCCACCCCCCACCCACACTTTTCAAGCTAAATCCACAGAAAGAAGCTTAAAAAGCCTGAATGAAAAAGAGAGAGAGAGAGTTTAGTTACGTCAACACCTTAATCTAGGAAGTGCCAGTGTAAGGACCAATCCTAGGGATTGTCATGGGTGATTGATTCCCAAGACTTCATTTTCCAGGGCTTCTAGGTGTCCTTCCATTGATCAGTGAGTTCCGAGGCCCGCAACTTCCATTGAAACTTGATGGGTGTTGAGGATCTGGTCCCAGAAGTGGCTTGTTAAGACAGAGTTCACAGTAAAAGCTGATCCCTAGCTCTGTGCAAGGAGGAATCAATGTGTAGAATGCTGGACCCGCAGCTAAAGCTTTCTGATTCGCTGCAAGCAGTGATGCGTACATTTACCTGAATACTATGTGAATGTATGAAGCTGATTTTTTTCCCCCTGGTTTCCGTTTGTAAATTCCTTTTGTTGCCCAGGTAAGATGCTGCGGCATCAACTTCTGCTGAATCTCTATGGCGGCCTCAACCAGCCTCCAGCAATAACGAGATCAGAACCACAGTGGGTTGGAGGAGCCTTAGCTGGTGTAAATCAACATAGCTCTGCCCACTTCGCCTATTTTCTTCCTGAGCAGGGCATCTGGTTTCTAAGGGGATACCTTCTGGCTCATCGTTTCTACAGTCTTCCCACAACTGACAGACAGTATTTGCACAATAAGGCTGATTTTAATCTGCAGGCAGGAAAAGCCAATGGAACAAAAATGTTTAAATCGCCTTGAAACTCCCTCCCTCCAAAAATTGAACTACTAAATAAAACAAAATAATCCAACAATCTGGCATGAATTCGTGGCATTAGCTGCTTTGCCAGGCAGCTTTAGAAAAACATTCTGTTTCCTCCTCAGCTGTTCTTTTTAGACCAAAGGGCCACAGAGTATTGGAATCATTTTTACTGCACCTTCCTGCTTGTTTTGGCTTAAAATAGCCAGATACTTTTCCCACTTAATACTGTTTATTTTTTTAAATCTCTTCTCAGGGTGTGGCCGGTATGGATGGGCAAACAGGCCCAAAGGGGAATGTGGTAAGTCTTCATTACTAACATCTGTCTAGGTATAGTCAATCTTACATTAGATTTATAATTACAGTTTAGTCCCCGTTGATTTCAAAGCCAGCAGAAGCCGTGGAGAATGGTAAATGGAAGTTAATTTATTACAATTTGCAATTCAATTACATATTGCCTTCCTACCAAGATCAAACATTTTCAGCATGATTTATGTTGTTGCAACAAAGGACAAAATACAATAATTAAATCAAAGAAAGAAACTATATATAAATAATACTTTGTAGTTATGGGAGTCAAAGTCACCTCTATGAAGAGGAGCCCAAGCAAAGTAAATACTCAAATGTTGGTTTAAGTGGCACTTAATTATTAGATAGGTCTACGCTGGTCCTTTACAATAGTCCTTGATCCATCAATAACACCCCCTCTGGGAAGACTACCGTAGACGAGTGGGAGGGAATGCTGTCTCACTGTGAGACCAAGATACTGGGAATCAAAACTCCTCAGTTCTGGTCCTGGCCTTGTAAGTGTGACCTGACACTCATCACTTTGCTATGGCATCTAAAGTGATTACAGTGATTGTGGTTCAGAACTGGGCTTTGGGATCCGTTCTGTTCAATGTCTTCATCAATGGTTTAGAGAATAGCATGGAGAGTATGCTTCTAAAGTTTGGCAATGATACCAAGCTAGGAGGGGTTGCAAATGCTTTGGAGGATAGGGTCGTCATTCAAAATGATCTGGACAAACTGGAGAAATGGTCTGAGGCAAATCGGCTGAAGTTTAATAAGGACAAATGCAAAGTGATCCACTTACGAAGAAACAATCCATTTCACACCTACAGAACAGGAAGTGACTGTAGGAAGGAGAACTACAGAAAGGGATCATGGGGTCGTAGTGGACCACAAGCTAAATATGAGTCAACAGTGTGATGCTGTTGCAAAAAAAGCAAACATGATTCTAGGATACATTAACAGGAGTATTGTGAGAAAGACAGAAGAATTAATTCTTCCACTCTACTCTGCATTGATTAAGCCGCAGCTGGAGTATTGTGTCCAGGTCTGGGCACCACATTTCAAGAAAGATGTGGAGAAATTGGAGAGGCTCCAGAGAAGAGCAACAAAAGTGATTAAAGGTCTAGAAAACATGAACTATGAGGGAAGGCTGAAAGAATTGGGGTTTTTTTTTTTAGTTTGGAAAAGAGAAGACTGAGAGGGGACCTGAGAGCAGTTTTCCAGTACCTAAAAGGGTGTTAAAAGGAGGAAGGAGAGAAATTGTTCTCCTTGACCTCTGATGATAGGACAGGAAGCAATGGGCTTAAACTGCCTCAAGGGAGGCTTAGGTTGGACATTAGGAAAAACTTCCTAACTATTAGGTGGTCAAACACTGGAATTAGTTGCCTAGGGAGGTTGTGGAATCTCCATCACTGGAGATATTTAAGTACATTTTAAATGGACATATATCAGGAATGACCTAGACAGTGATTGGTCCTGCTGTGAGGGCAGGGGACTGGACTTGATGACCTCTTGAGGTTCCTTCCAGTTCTAGTATTCTATGAATATTCTATTTGTAGAATCCTTGAATGAAGGGTTATGTACATTTACACAAGGATAGAAGCATGAAGAGTATGCAGCTGTGTCAGGTATTTTTGGATGAGTGTTGTGATTTAAGCAACTCTTCCCTCCATGTTAGCATGACAACTAAAATAAGAAAAGTGGCTACTATGGTTAAAAAACTGAATTCAATAGTATCCGGGAGCTGCAGTCTATTTCCAGCAGTGGCCACTAGCAATGCAATGGAGGTAGCAGGTCACAGCCCTCTGCAGTAACACAGCGGACAAGGAAATATCTCATCCACATCCCTGCAATAATAGCCAGTTTACACCCAATCACATGAGAATTCATTAGCTCTGCTTTAGCATGAACGGATGCGTATCTAAGTGTTGGCCACAATACCGTGGAAGGACGTTATTTAAGCTATAGTTTTGCACTCCTTTCAGCTCTTGCTTTGCTTCTTGGCAGGGTCCTCAAGGTGAGCCAGGACCACCAGGACAGCAGGGTAATCCAGGTGCTCAGGTAAGGCAAAAACCAGCTCTTCTCCTGGATAGGAAAGAGTCAGAGTTATAATTCTCAATGTGCTTTTGCCCTTTCTCACATCACAGAGCCTGAGCTGCTGCAGGGTGGTTCAGGCGAGACATCACACCAACGGTTGACCTGCCATGAATACATTTCTGACAGGCAAAGCCTGGGTCTAGATCTAATCAACCTCCAGGGGTTGAAGAGTGAACAACATCCTTCTGGATCCACATTTTACAGCTGGATCCAGATTTTACAGCTGGCTCCTGTAAAATGGGTCGAGTACAGATCTAAGCATCTCCTTGACAGAGGGCGTTGGTGATCTGACTCTAGATCCAAATTTGCTGCATAGTCATCTGTGGTTTTTAATGGAGTCATTGTGGAAGCTGTGGGGCCTAGTGACTTGGGGACATGTTTTCATTACTGCAGTTGAACTTCTACTTCTTCTGCAAGTCACGTCAATTTCCAAGGCCTCCTTTTCCCCACCTAGAAAACAATATTGTCCTCCTTTGGAAAACACTTTCCAGTCTAAGGATGAAATATGCTATCCAAAAATGGAGTGCTCTTGAACCTTGTTAATCCAGCAACCTTGGGAAATCGGCTTGGCTGGATTATGGAATTTGCCATATCATGGGTGTTTGCCAAAGTGAAGGGTAAACAAAGTCAGTTACTAAAGCTTTGTAGGCACAAACCATTATACAGTACTGTCCATGAATAACATGGCATAAGATAAATCCTTACTGCACTGTATTTAAACTGTTATTGGGGGTGGGAGTGGAGGGTCCGGGAGGGTGAAGGAGTGCGATGAGGTTGGGGATGTGGGGTCTGGGAGCGAGGGTGCCATTTTGGGAGCATAGGGGGCAGCAGCTGGGTATCTGGGGACATTGCATGCTTTTCTTCTCGTTGTCTAGACCCTCAGAGAGTGAGGGGAAACTACACAGATTTTGTGAATTACTTCTTTGTGCCTCCCCTCATCAGCCGGGAGTGAGAGGCATGCACACAAGCAGGATCCTTTCCCCTCACTCCCTGATAGTCAGAGGAATGGGAAGGAAAGCAAGCAGCATCTCGTTATGCATGTCTGCTGCCCCCCTGCTCTCCTTAAATGCACTCTTGTCTTGGAAAGAGGCAGGGTGCAGGGGCATAGTGGGGAGTCTGGGAGGGAGAGTATATGCACAAGGGCATGAGGGGGTGAGATCTGGGCATGCGGAGGGGAGAAGGTGGAACACATACCTGGAGCCTCGTTTCCGAGGGCACACATGGCTCTGCAGCCCACACTGCTCCCAGGCACCGCCTCCCTGTGACTCCCATTGGCTGCAACTCATGGCCAATAGGAGCAGTGGCGGGGGGGGGGAAGCATTCAGAGAAGCACTTTGCTATTCCCCTAGCTGGGAAGGAGAGGGAGTAGTAGCATACCAAACCCTTTCCTCTTCACCCTGCCATATGGAGCCCCAGCCGTGTATCTGAATCTGGCCCATGAGGCTCAAGGTTCCCCCCATAGCAGGGAGCCAGTACTGGCGCTCAAGCTGTGTGGGGTGTATGAACCACTGTTGTTCCCAGATCACAGACACCCAGATTAAGGAGGTCCACATACATTAGCATCTTATGCTAGACATTTCTGTAACTACTGATATGGCAGAAAAACCAGGCCATTGCAAATGCTACACAGAGGTGCAGCAAAATACATTTTCAATGAGTCATTTGTTTCTTAACGTTCCTACCTTTTTTTTTTCTTTTCACAGGGTCTTCCAGGTCCACAGGGTGCAATTGGTCCACCGGGAGAGAAAGTACGTTAATATACTGCAGCTGTGACATAAGTCAGCTGTTGCCATTAATATGCATTTGCCTTTACATACTCTCCTTTCCCACATGCAACATCTGTTTACAGCTGTGTGCCTGAAAGTTTAATATGTCTTTGTCCAGACATGGCACAGAGGAGGAAAAGATTTGTGTCCAGCAAATAATATTTTATTCACGTCTTACTTTATGAGAAACATTGTGAAGACAGTCTAGTAAAATGTTAGAAGATGACTTAACATTGTCTCTCTCTGAGGCTAAAAAGGCAGAGACGTATAAAGGGATAGCTTTTCTAAGAACTTGCGGGTTCAGATAATTTAATGAGGTCCTTCCTCTAAGGCAGTGTTTCCCAATTGGTGCTCCGTGGAACCCCAGGGTTCTGCAAAGCGAAAGTAAGAGTTCCGTGAGAACGCAGCATTGCCCCGCCCCCTCTTAAAGAGACAGAGTATTTTGCACGTTGGTTTTTTTTTTTTTTTGCTCAACCAGTTCTGGAGGGGCTTTTTTTTTTTTTTTTGCTTGCCTAATTTTACTCTGGGAACCCTAGGGGTTCCTTGAAATTATTTTAAGCTGAAAAGGGTTCCGTGGCCAACTAAAATCAGGAAACACTGCTCTAAGGAGATGTACCAAGTTCCACTGAGTTTCCATTTTTGCTTAATGTAACTGTTCTCATTAGGCAAGTGCGACTCTCTCACTCATGGAACACAATGGACTCGTGGGTTTAAATCAGGACAAAATGTTGCTCACTGAAATGATGGGACTAGTTCACGTTCCTGAACAATGTTCCCTCTAATCTTTTCCATCCAGGTGCAGATTTTTTCCCTCTATGTGTGGAATAAATTTTGTTGTGAGCACCAAGGCATATGCAAAAGTGCACCTCCAACAGAAATACAAAACCTAGCTGTGGGTTTTTCTGCTAATCAGCTGGGCAGCATTCGTATTTCTCCAAATTTGTATTTGTATTTTTCTGAATCAGGTGCACAGCTTACAGGTACACAACTCTCGTCCCGAGAACAGTTGTATAACTCTTACTGGCTTTCTTCGCATGTAGCATTTGCCCCAACTCAACATTCACATTAGTGAAAGGAGAACATCAGGAGGAAGGGTAATTTACCAGATGTTTTAAAATCTCATTATCAGGGCCAGACTTCTTGCTCACCGAGCTCTGCCCAGAGCGATAAACTGTATCCACTGCATTTTTTTTCTTTTCTTTTCTTTTTGTATACAACGCTTGTGAGACCATGTTCAGGCAAAGCAAAAAGATGTGCTTGTAACATGGAGCCCTTTGTTCTCTGATAGTCGACATTTAATAATGTCATGGGGATGCTTGTTGCTTCAGTGATTCTGATTGTTGCTGGGTATTTTTTAGGGACCTTTGGGTAAACCTGGTCTTCCTGGCATGCCTGGTGCAGATGGTCCTCCGGTAAGTAGTCTGTTCCTATGGTACCCCACCCTGCTTATGCACGAAAGATCTGATCCTGCATCATGGTTGCACCCAGCCTCTTTGGCAAGTCAGCAGGACCGTGAGCGTTCAAGGTTTACAAGATCAGGCCTCATTCAGAATTGACACCAAACCATTGGAGGGTTTGAGACTCCTCTACCCTCAACCTGCTTGTCTGGTTCTTCTGTGTGTTGCGCTCCTACATCATTCCCATGGATTCTCAT